ATACAAAGGGCCGAGGGAGGTGGGGCTAGCTCCCATTTCACGGAGTCTCGGCGACAGGGACCCCCTCCCTTGAACCTCTGAAGGCAGCCTTCCCTCTCGGCCCAGATGAGGCCAAGATGAGGCTTCCTCTCCACCCGCTTTCTAGGGTGCTTTCCTTCCCCTGGTTCCCATGGAGGGGTGATGCGGTCCTCAGTTTCTCCTTTTTCTTCCCCATTTTGGGTTCCCAGGGCTGAGCTGGGCACACGCCCCATGTGGCACTGCCCTGGGGCAGGGGATCCCAACGCCCCTCCTTGTGTGACTGAAACTTCCTGGAAACTGTGAGACTGAAGGGCCTTGGGGAGGGGGCCGGAAACCACTCATAAGCAAGCTTAAACAGGACTAGAGCAGTGCCTCCCTACCCCCAGGGACTGTGGCCTCCAGAGGCTGCAAAGAAACAGATAGGGGAGGCCAGGCTCTCCCTGCCCAGCCCAGCCAAGAGGGAGGCACTGGGACCTGGCAGCCACCCAACTTTTCCCCTCCCTGCTTGAAGCTGCCAGCCCCAACCTCCTGAGGGGCCTCCTTGCTCTTGGTTTTGGCCCAAGCCCCAGACCCTGTGGCTGTCTTTGCTGTGTGTCCCTTGGGTGTGGCTGGCTGTCTCTGATCTGGGATTATCCATCTGGGGTCCTGCCTGCCTGTGGGCAGCACCTGAGAGATCGTTGGTCTCCCTGAGGCAAGGCTGGGGCAGAGTGGACAATGATGGGATTCACCCAGCCTTGAATTTGGCCAAAAGGAGCCAGCCATGGATGGGCCTGAGTAAACCCTCCCAGGTCCTGCCAGGACCACACTGAGACAGGGGACCTACATGCCTAACAGACCTGGTCCTGGGCTCTGGGAGAACATTGCATCAACAAGTATGTACTGAGCATCCTACAGGCAGCATCCAGACAGAGGCAACACAGCAGTGAACAAAGCGGAAAAATCCTTGAATGAGTAGGTAATTTTAGGTTGTTGTCAGTGTAGTGAGGCAATGAACAGGACACTGTGTGTGTGTGTATGTGTAGGGTCATCTGGGATTATTTTAGGCGACCAAAGGCTGGAGGTTGAGCCAGCCGTGGGAAGATCTGAGAGAAGTGTGATCTAGGGAGTGAGAACAGCAAACAAAGCACGCAGTTGCTTAATGATTTATCTCTATGAGGCCCAGGGGAGCGTGAGATGGAGACTTCAGCTGGGTCTTGCAGTCAGGCCCTCACTTCCTCTAGAGGGACCACATTGCTTGAATCCTCCAAGTTGTGTGTTGGGGGGGTGGTCCTTGCTTAATTTGTACATGGTCCATTCTCATCAGACCCAAAAACTGAGGGCCGTCATGCTGCCCTGTGAAGTCTTTGCCAGATAACGGGGAGCTTTCCTTTGGGAACAATGTGCAAAGAGTGACTCAGGTATCCTTCCCTTGTACCCTAGTGCCTTCCCATCAGTCACCAAGAACTTAGGGGGTAATGTCAGACACACATAGGTTCAAATCCTTGTTCTGACACAGATGAGCTCTGTGGCCATGGGTGAGTTGGTGACCTCTCTGAAATTCCATATCCTCATCAGTAGGGCTGGGCAGACCATGCTGACTGGTGGGAAGTGTTTTGCACACTGCCAGGTGACCTCTACGTGCTCCAAGGCCTCTGGGACTGGGGATACTGGGGATATGGATTTTCTGTGAGCTGATGGAGAGGCAGCCCTCTGTCGGGGCGTATACTTAGACTGGACTGATCAGGACAGAAAGTTCCCTCCCTAGCAGACACCTTATCTAGAGGAAAGCAGCATCTCTGAGGAAGCCAGGAAATGGCTCCTGGCCCCAGCGGATGTCAGCAAGGGGCACTGCCTAACTTCTCAGCCCACCCTTGGCATGAGCAGCATGGAAAAAGATTCTAGGTAACCTAAAACAATAGACTGATGGGGTGAGGGAACACTAAGGGGAAAAGAGTAATGGTGCTTGTTTAAAAAGTAGATTCCATGGCCCCATTCACTAGAGAATTCAACTCAGCCAGCAGCAGGGAGCTGGCATCTGAGTTTTTAGAAAACATTATCAGGAGAGGGTATTGTTAATTGCAACTTTTTTTTGGAAAGAGATAATACATTCACATGCTTCAAAAAAAAAAAGATACAAAAGACTTTATAGCTTTATGAAATCTGCTTCCTGCTCCCTCTCCCAATATCACACTTCTTTCTTGCAGTATATCTGCAAGGCAACTTGTTGTGTTTTCTTCCAGGGTCTAGGCCTTAGACCTTCTCATGCAACTACACATATTCTTTATTTAGTGGCTCCACCCCCCGTTTTACAAAAATGTTAAGAAACCCTTAAAGTGCTAGCTTTGTGAGGCAAGAATGCATATCTGTTTAGTTTGAAGGTGTATCCACAGTGTCTGTCACATGGTAACAAAGTCGGTGCTCAACAGATAATTTTGTTGAACGAAAAGTTGTGTGTTTCACATTTTCACATTGTGTTGCTTTTTTTTTTTATTTTTTTTTTTTTTTGCTTAATGTATTGGAGGTGATCTCTCCCTCACATCAGTGCCTGGAAACCTCCTCAGTCTTTTGGGACAGTTGCATTAAGTTGTGCATTTGTGGGTGGACCATCTTAAATTGAACCAATCAAGGGGAATATTTTGAAATTTTTATTGAAGTAGAAAATTCGTACATAAAAGGGTACACACATGTCAGCAGTACCCAGGTCAGAAAAAAAACATTACCAGCCCCCAGAGGTCCCTGATGCCCAAGGACGGCCTATTAGTATTATGATTATTTTTATTTTGTGTGTGTGGTTAAAAAACATAACAAAATTTCCCATCTTAACCATTTTTAAGTTCAGTAGTGTTAAGTATTTTTATACTGTTGCACTGTGGCCTGTTTTTGTAAAGCCAATGGATTGAGTGGCTCTTACATTTTTAAATGGTTCTTAAAAGAATATGTGACAGAGATGATATGTGAACCACAAAACTTAAAATCTTTAATATCTGGGGGTAGGGTACAGGTCAGTGGTAGAGTGCATGCGTAGCATACATGAGGTCCTGGGTTCAATCCCCAGTACCTCCACTAAAAAAAGACAAAAATAAATAGTTAAAAAAACCTTTAATATCTGGCCCTTAGAATAAATTTGCAGATGTCAAGTAAGGCCTTTCTCATCGCCCCTAGAAAGTTCTCTCCTGCCTCTTTCCAGTCAATCCCCAAAGGGAGGCTTATTGTTTATTTTTTTTAATGGAGGCACTGGGAATTGAACCCAGGACCTCATGCGAGCTAAGCATACACTCTACCACTGAGCTATTACCCTCTCCTCCCCAAGCTTATTTTTAAATCAGATTTTAAACTCTTACATAACAAAATTAATATATTCTCTCTGTTGGGGTGGGGGAGGCTGAAAATTAAAAATAAGCCCTCAACCGCACAGATTTTAGCCTTCCCTGTGAAAGAACCCCTCACATACCCTCAGCTAGCTGTCCCCAGCTCAGAGGTAACACAGCCAAGAAGTCTCTTTCCCGAGCTTAGACTATTCATTTCTTTGTGTATATGTGGCATCTGTATCTTTTTTTAAAGCTCCTCAGGCTGGTTTACTGAGAAACGGTACTGTTCCTAGGGTGGGATACTATGTTGGCTTGTAAAAAGATGCAGTATGTCTAACCTTGCTGTTGGGGAAACAAAGTCCAATGATGTCAGTCTGTGAAATAGCAAAGTGGGAAACAGCGTGTGTAACAAAACAGTGGGGTAAGGGATAAATAGCTACATATCTGCTTATGTATGTAGACATTTTCTGGAAGGAGGAAAGGGAAACCAGTGAGAGGAACTGCTCCCAATGTGAGGAAGTGTGGGCTCTGGGCCAGGGGTGAGAGGGAGAGTGATTTTTCTTAGTCTAAAGGCTTGTGCTGCCAGAAGTTGTTTGTTGTTGTTGTTGTTTAATCTTGATAAGCATGCAGATTACTTAACGTAAACAAGTTCATTGATAACCTCCTTCAGCAAACATTGGTCCCAAGTGCCAGGTTCGACCCTGGAGATACAGCAGGCAATGCGCTTGCCAGGAACTGACATTCTCGCAAGGGATCCACATACTAAGATGACTGAGGAAAATTCTGAGACTATCAGAGAAGGGCTCTGGAGAAAAGTGTAGCCAGAAGGAAGGGTGGGAGTGATCTAAAGGGCCCGGAGGCAGGGTTTAAAATTTCAAATCAGTGGATCAGAGAAGGCCACATACTGACCTGACTAATGGAATAAGAAAGAGAGTCATGTTTCAGGCAGCGGGCAAAGCCTGTGCAAAGGTCCTGGGGTGGGGGAGTGTGTCTAGTATGTTTGAGGAGCCCTGAGGAGGTCTACGTGGCTGGAGTGGAGAGGCTGAGATATAGAATGGCAGGAGGTGAGGGCAGAGAAGGGATGGGCAGAGTGGACAGGGCCTTGTGCACCCCCGGAAGACTTGGGTTTTTGTTCCGAGAGAGATAGGAGTCATTGAATTCTGAGCAGAGGAGGGACCTGACCTGACTCGGGCTCACAAGGGCCCTCTGGCCTCTAGGGTGCAATGGCAGAAGCCAGGCGACCAGCCCAGAAGTGATAGCATTGGTCAGGGGGCATGAATTGCCTTTACCAAGGTGCTAAATAAATGAACAGACATACAAAAAAAGCAAACCAGAGTTCTGACTCTCAGCTGGGTTCTGGAACCCAGCATTGACTGTGTTCCAGTCCCAGCTCCATTCTTTTTTCCTTTTTTAAATTGAAGTATAGTTGATTTACAATTATGTTGTGTTAGTTTCAGGTGTACAGCAAAAGCAAAGTAATTCAGATTTTTATATACATATTCTTTTTCTGATTCTTTTCCATTATAGATTATTACAAGATATTGAATATAGTTCCCTGTGCTATACAGTAGATCCTTGTTATCTATTTTATTTTAAAATTTTTTAAAAGGTCATTTCAGGTTGTTTTTTCTCTTTTTATTTATTTATATTTTATCATTCCATTTATTTTTATTTTGGGGGAGGTAATTATATTTATTTATTTTCAATGGAGGCATGGAGATTGAACCCAGGACCTCGTGCATGCTAAGCACACACTCTTCCACTGAGCTGTACCCTCCTCCTGTCTATTTTATATATAGAAGTGTGTATATGTTAGTCCCAAACTCTTCATTTATTCCTCCCCCACACCTGCTCCATTGTTCCCAGCTCTGTACCAGCACAGACCCTTTCATGTATCCCTGAACCTTTTGTGTCTGTACCTTTCATATATCTGAGCCTGTCTCTCCGTCTAGAAAATGGAGTTAAAGTGTCCGCTCCCTCTCAGGTCTACCTCAAGGGACCAGTGAACTCCTGCAGGTCTAGCACTCCACTGGAGCTGGGTCTATGGTAAATGCCCGGTTAATCGGAGTTCTTTGCAGAGTACACAGCTGAGGAGCAGGAGCAGAGTTCAAAATCCCAGTTCCCACTGACTGGGTGATTTCAGACAAGTCATGAAGCATCTCTGGGCCTCTGTTTCTCCATTATGCCATCTACCCTCAGAGCCTCATTGTAGGAATCAAATGAGTTCCTGGAAGGAAATGTCTGCTTCAGTGCCCAGCAAACAGTAGTGCTCTATTTCTTGCTCCCAGCATTGCTGTCAGTGGAGTCACTTCTAGTTTTCCTACCCAGATGCTGTCCCCAAACCTTTTGTCAAAGGGACTTATCTGGGCAGCTGGGATGTCCATTACCCATGCACAGATTTCTGGGAAGGCGGGGTAAGCCAGCCTGGCTGCGTGGGCGAGGCCTGGGGCTGCTGCAGGCCTTGTGGACTTGGCCTGTAACCAGAAGCCGTCGGGGGCTGGGTGCCACTTGATGTCCTGGCACGAGGATCGTGACCAGGCAGCCTCTCTCTGTTCTCTTATCTCCTACGCCCATTGAACTGGGTGGGCCGGCCATCCTGCCCAGCCAGGCCTGGACCCAAGGGCTGCCTCCCCTCTCCAAACCTGGTCTTATAGCCCAACTTTCTGAGACCTTCTCCCCCACCATTGTCACATCTCTCCCAGCATCTGCCAACGAAGAGGCTTGGGTTGGAGCCAGCAGGGCCTTGATTCGATGCACAGCTCACCAGCTATGTGGTTGGAACACAAGGCCTCAGTTTACCCCCTCTGTCAAATGGGGCCTCATTCCTAGTTAGCGTTTCTGGAAGCCTTGGACCCCAGACCTGTGCTGATTTGTTTTTTCTGCATCAGGTCCTGGCAATACCTACCAGGAAATGCAAACTTGAGTCCCATTCTCCACATGGGAAAATGGCAGTCTGGAGAGGGAGAGGGCTTGTCAATTCCCCCCCCCCCCAGTGTTGAGGGGGATGAATGACACGTCTTACCACTTCTGGTCGTTGTCAGCAGAGCCCATGAAGCAGGGTGGCGCAGACTTGGGCTCAACACATGTCAGTTCACTGCCTAGAGACCAGGGGGCAATAAACTTCTGTAAAGGACCAGAGAGTAAATATTTCCAGCTCTAAGGGCTCCATATAGTCTCTTATCACTGCTGCTCAAGTCTGCCATAGGCAATAGACAACATGACAGCGAGCAGCCTGGACAAGATGAGAAGGAATGAGCGTGGCTCTGGGCCAAGAGAATTAGACTTACGGCCCCTGACATTTGAAATTTCACATGAAGACGTAGTCTTCTTTTCATGTTTTTCAGTTATTTAAAAATGGAAAGACTGGTGGAGGGAGAAATAATTGGGAGCTTGGGATTGGCAGATACAAACTGCTATGTACAGGATAGATAAAATAAGGTCCTACTGTAGAGCACAGAACTATATTCAATAGGTTGCAGTAACCTGTAGTGAGAAAGAATATGGCCAGGTGGAGGGTGTAGCTCAGTGGTAGAGTGTGTGCTTAGTTAGCATGCACGAGGTCCTGGGTTCAATCCCCCATATGGCCATTAAAGTAAATAAATCTTATTACCTCCCCCTCCAAAAAAAATGAAAAAGAATTACGTGTATATATATATATATATATATATATATGACTGAATCAGCAGTTACAAACATTCCAACACAGATAAATGAATCACTATGCTGACACCAGAAACTGATACAACATTGTAAATTTAAAAAAAAAATTTTTTTAATAGAAAGACCATTCTTAGCTTTGAGCCCTATGAAAACACGGTGGATGGATTGCCCCATGGGGGATGGTTTGCGAACCCTGGCCTGAATGATTAACACACTGTGGTAGGCAGCATAACAGTGCCCCCAAAGATGTCCGCACCCTAATTCCTGGAACCTGTTACTCTGTTACCTCACACGGCAAAAGGGAATTTGCACATGAGATTAAATTTAGGATCGTGAGATGGGGAGATGAATCCAGGCTCATCCAGGTGGGCCCAAGAACAAGTTTCCTTATAAAGAAAAGAGAGCTCAGATATATGCCCAGGAGTGGAATTGCTGGGCCATATGGTGTTTCTGTTTTTAGGTTTTTGAGAAACCTCCATATTGTTTTCCATAGTCGCTGCACCAATTTACATTCCCGCCAACAGTTACAAGGGTTCCCTTTTCTCCACATCCTTGCCAACATTTGTTATTTGTGTTCTTTTTGATGATGGCCACTCTGACAGGTGTGAGATAATATGTCATTGTGATTTTGATTTGCATTTCCCTGATACTAGTGATGTTGAGCAACTTTTCATGTTCCTGTTGGCCATCTGCATTTCCTCTTGTGGAAAAATGTCTGTTCAGTTCTTCTGCCCATATTTTAAGAGTCTCATGCTCTACCGACCGAGCTAGCTGGGTAGGCTCTGCCCATATTTTAAATGGCTTGGTTGGTTGTTGGTTTGCTTTTTAATTGAAGTACAGTTGATTTAAAATGTATTAGTTTCTGGCGTACAGCATGGATGGAATCATGCTAAGTGAAATAAGTCAGACAGAGAAAGATAAATACTGTAAGATACCACTTAACATGCGAAAATCTAAAAAAATACAGCAAACTAGTGAATGTAACAGAAAAGAAACAGACTCACAGATGTAGAGAAGGAAATAGTGGTTACCAGTGGGGAGAGGGAAGGGGGCGGAGCAAGATGGAGGGGGGAGGAGTAAGAGGTACAAACTATCAGGTATAAAATAAGCTACAAGGATGTATTGTACAACATGGGGAATGTAGCCAATATTTTATAATAACTGTAAATGGAGTGTAACCTTTGAAAATTGTGGGTTACTATATTGTATGCCTGTAACATATATAATATTGTACATCAACTATATTTCAATTTTTTAAAATATATTGTAATATAAGTATATAAATAAAGAAAAAAGAAAAAAAAGACGGAGGGTGAAGGTATAGCTCAGTGGTAGAGCATGTACTCAGCATGCGAGAGGTACTGGGTTCAATCCCCAGAACCTCCAGTAAAAATAAATAAATAAATAAACCTGGTTACCTACCCACCCCCACAAAAAAAAGGAATTAAAAAAGAAAGAAAAGAGGGAGGCAGGGGAGTCAGAGGAGGAGACCTAACAAGGGAGAAGATTCTCCGAGACTGCAGAAGGCTTGCAGCCTGGCCAGCACCTTGATTTTGGCCCAGTGAGATTTACTTTGGATGTCTGACCTCTGGAACCTGGAGATAATAAATTTGTGTTGTTTTTAAGCTGCCAAATTGGTGGTCACAGCTTACAGCCATAGGAACCTCGTATAAGCACTAACTCGGGAGCAGGGTGGCCTGGCTCTGTGGCTCACCAGCTTTGTGGCCCCAGCATGTTATGTCTCTCTGGGCCTCAGTTTTCACATCTGTCAAATGGGATCAACCCACAAAGTTGCTGTAAGGGTGAATTGAGGTAAACCGTGTAATGTTTCTGAAGAGCACCTGGCACTCAGTAAACCAGTGACAGAGAGGCACTGGGGCATTGTTGCAAAGATACAGCAAGTTTCCACCCTGCAGGGTTTGAATCAGGCTCAATTATCAAACCATTAGGATTCGCTTTGCCCCTCCCTCTGTCTCCCCTTGGCTAATGTTAAAATGAGAGCTAATGGAACTCATCAGATGACAGTACCAATGTTCCCTCTTATATTTCCTGAGCCACCCACAAGGCAAGGCCCTGAGCCAAGGCTACACCAGGCGCCTAGCTCTGCATCTTTAATTCATCTGACAAGTTCACACTACAAGGCCATAGCTCAACTGTCCCAGCCACAGCCACCAAATTTCCCTGAGAACTGATGGAGACTTCGCCTCTCCAGCCTGAACATGCTGTCATGCTCCTGCTCAAACACCCTCAGTGGCTCCCATTCACCCATCAAAACTGGAGTAGGGACCCACCACTTGTTGCTAGGGTACTGGGCATGCAGGTTCCTCTCCCTGACCTTCGGTTTTCTCTGTTGTAAAATGGCTTGTTAATAGGAGTGCCTATTTGGTAAAGAGCCCTGAGCCAGGGTCTGAAAGGTATTCCTTGGTTAGCACAAGCCGTTCTTATCTGACGGCTCCCACTGCCAATCTGGCTGCTATTTGGCTGATACTAGAAACCTCCTGAGCTGCCTTCTCTCTCCTCCACCCATCTTACTGGTCTCACCTCTTATCAGAAGGTTGAAATATGCTCTTGTGTTTTCCCTTCATACTTGTGATGGTTTTCAGTTTTCTACATTTGCATGATTAATCCACATGGAATTTGTTTTGCAAGGTGTTGGAGGTGGAGTTAACTTCATTTTCTTCCAAATGCAAAGTCAAAGCTAGTGACTGCTTATCCTTTCCCTGCCAGCTAGAAATTCCACACTTAATATATATTAAATTCTTATATGTATAAAATTTGCAAATTAATATGGGCACCTGGAAAACTCTAAGCTGCTTTTTTTTCCCTTGCTTTAAAAAAATTTTTTTTAATGGAGGTACTGGGGATTGAAAACCCCACACATGTTAAGCACATGCTCTACCACTGAGCTATCCCCCATCCCCTTTAAGCTGCATTTTTATTTTCAGTTTTAGCTATGCATACATGGATTATATGCTGTGGTTATTCATTTAACAAACCCTGACTGCTGGCCTGTTCTATGCCAGGTGCTGTGCTGGGTGCTGGAGACATAGTTCTGAACAAAACGGACATCAGTCCCTGCCCTGTGCAGTAAACATGCGGGCAGACAGTAAACAACCAATATATAAATGAATGGTGTTAGGTGGTAAGAAACAAAATGAAACAGGGTAACAGGGGAAAGGGGGAAAGGGCGCTGTCTTAGGACGGTCAGAGAAAGTCTCTGAGGAGGTGATGTTTGAGCAGAGGTATGAAGAAGGTGGAGTCACGTAGATGTCTCACGGGGAAGAGCTTTCTAGGTGGAGGGAACAGCCATTGCAGAGGTGCTGAAGGGAGACTGTGCCTGGTGAGCTTGTGTATGGCCAGGAGGCCAGCGAGGCTGGAACAGAGCGAGAGGAGAGAGTGAAGGAGGTGAGGTCAGGGAGGTGACAAGGAGAGCAGGCAGGGCCTCGTGGGCTGCAGGGAGGACTTGGGCTTTTCCTCAGAGTGAGATGGGAGTCTCCTCTGGGTTCGGGGCAGAGGAGGGATGTGCCCTGACTTGGGTGTTTACAGGCTCCTCTGGCCGCTGTTGGGGGAACAGTGCGGGACAAGAGTGGGAGCTGCACTGTCCAGACAGGAGATGACAGCCGTGTGACAAGGGTGGGGGCTGAGGAGAGGGTGAGAAATAGTTGGATTCTAGACAAATTCTGAAGGCAAAGCTGATATAAAGCAGAGAGGTATCCCAGGTTTCCAGCCTGAGCACTTCTGACTTGGGGCAGCTTGGGGGACACGCAAGGGCTTGATGTGGCCATGCTGAGTGGGAGGTGCCCATGAGACCCCTTGTGGGGTTCTGGCAGGCAGAGTCACAGGGACATGCAGCTCGGGGTGAGGCCCTCCCCAAAGGTCCACATTTTTAAAAAAAATTTTTGAGAAGGAGATTGTTAGGTTTACTTATTTATTTTTGGAGGAGGTACTGGGATGGAACCCAGGACCTTGTGTATGCTAAGCATGCGCTCTACCACTTGAGCTATGCCCTCCCTACTCCCAGGGGTCCACATTTGGGCATCATCAGGGTGGAGCTGGTGGTTGAAGGCCTGCGTCTGCCAGTGTGTCCCCAGGGGACCGAGTATATCTGGGAAGAGGAGAGGCTGTGGCCTGGGCACCGCTCGGACTGGGTGGGACTGTGGCAACCAGAGGACTACTTTGGGAGGCCTGGTCACTCAAGGGCATGGCTTTGAGCCTGGGGCCTTGACTGTCTGTTTGCTCAAGCCTGTGGGCCAGGGGGCAGGTGGGCCTCCACAGCTGGAAGCCACTAGGAGGGGGAGGTGACGTTTCTCTAAGGACAAGCTGAGTTGGTGACCAGAGCCCCACCAGGGGGTGCCTGACTCTGAGGCAGCAGCTACAATTAAGCACCAACTGTATATAACCACACTTATGACCCTTGCTTGCTGTATGCTCTGTATAGTTGGTTGTACTGTAAATATACAACTGGGCCCAAGGGTTGTTGAGAGATGCAGTGAGAACAGGCACATGATGAAGGGAGGATACAGCCGTGGGGGCTGTGTACTCCCACACAAGCTGTGCAACCCCACACTGACTATATACCTTCCACCAGCTGTATACCACTACCCTACTGTATATCCCACACTGATTAAACACCCCTAACTGTATACCTCCATGTGGGCTATATGCCCCATGTTGGCAGTACCCCCATACCTACTGTATACCCCCACATCCGCTGAACTCCCCTACACTGACAATATAGTGCATCTGCGCTAACTGAATATCTCCTGGTACCCGTACCTAGTTTTGGCTGATTTTGCCTTTATGCTTTAGCCCCATATCACAATTGAGGAAACTGAGGCTCAGGGAAAGGAAGGCACTGGCCTGAATATCCTCTGGCTCAAATGCACCCAGAAGGATGTCAGCTCCACCAGGACAGACCCACAAGACTGGGTCTCTCTCATTTGCCCCTGTTCCTGGTGCCCAGCCAGTAGGCACTCAGTAAATACTTGTTCTCCAAAACAGTGGCTTCAGGATTATCGACTGTGGGGGTGTGCAGGGATGGCTAGCTCAGGTGTGTAGCCTCAGGGGCCACAGAGGGACCAGAGCCAGGCAGGGATGTGACATGGGGACTGTAAGTCGCTGTTTTAAAGAGACTGGCGATGTGGATTTTTAAATAGACTACAAATATTTAACTCCTGGCATTTAATTTTTTTAAGAATGCAGACCTGAAGAAACAAACACCCTCCCCACCACCACCACTGGTTTGAGAGTTTTCAGCCTGAATAGGCTATAATTGGTTGTTTGAGTTCAGCAAAACCAACTGCCGGTTTTGTGGCGCCTGGCTAGAGATTTAACCTCCTTGTGCCTCAGCTTCCGTACCTGGAGAATGGGACAATTATCAGGCGCCTTCCAGGGTGGAGGGTTGTTCTAGGCGGTGTCGCCTGGTGGGTGGTGGGGGAACCCAGGCCACGGAGCGCTGCCTCAGGGTGCCCGGGGTGGGGGCCGGGCGGCGGGCGGGGA